AAAAAAAAAAAAAAAAAAAAAAAAAAAAAAAAAAAAAAAAAAAAAAAAAAAAAAAAAAAAAAACACTAAGGGGTGTCAATATGTCCGAGTGGTAAAGGAGACAGATTCGAAATTTGTTGGGCTATACCTACGTTGCATAGATTCAAATGCTATTGTTGACAAATTTTTAGCTTTATTTCACATTCCTGTACGGCTAACCATAGGACGTTTTTAATCTAAACGTGCATTCCTGTACAGGGTAGTCGTATTTATTTTCTTAGACCTAGGCTAGAATAGGACGTTTTTAATTTAAACGTGCATTCCTGTAAGGGGTAGTCGTATTTATTTTCTTATACCTAGGCTAGAATAGGACGTTTTTAATTTAAATGTGCATTCCTGTACGGCTGACAACGGCATCGCATCTTTACATTTACATTTTTTAGGTTAAGACAAGACATTTCTGTACGACTGACGATGACATCGCAACTTTACATTTTTCACGTTAAGACAAGGCATTCTTCTACGGCTGACGACAACATCGCAACTCGAGACTATGACACATGCATAGGGTAGTCGTATTTATTTTCTTAGACCTAGGCTAGAATAGGATGTTTTTAATTTAAACGTGCATTCTTGTACAGATGACGACGACATTACAACTTTATATTTTTTTGGTTAAGGTGTGTCACTATGTCCGAGTGGTTAAGGAGATAAACTTGAGATTTGTTGGGCAATGTCTGCGTAGGTTCGAATCCGATTGTTGATGAATTTTTAGCATTATTTCACATTCCTGTACGGCTAACCATGACACATGCCCAGGGTAGTCGTATTTATTTTCTTAGACCTAGGCTAGAATAGGACGTTTTTAATTTAAACGTGCATTCCTATACGGGGTAGTCGTATTTATTTTCTTAGACCTAGGCTAGAATAGGACGTTTTTAATTTAAACGTGCATTTCTGTACAGGGTAGTCATATTTATTTTCTTAGACCTAGGCTAGAATAGAACGGTTTTAATTTAAACGTGCATTCCTATACGACTGACAACGGCATCGCATCTTTACATTTACATTTTTTAGGTTAAGGTAAGACATTCCTGTACGACTGACAATGACATCGCAACTTTACATTTTTTTGGTTAAGACAAGGAATTCTTGTACGGTTGACGACGACATCGCAACTCGAGACAATGACACATGCATAGGGTAATCGTATTTATTTTCTTAGACCTAGGTTAAAATAGGATGTTTTTAATTTAAACGTGCATTCTCGTACAAATGACGACGACCTCACAACTTTATATTTTTTAGGTTAAGGTATGTTAATATGTTCGAGTGGTTAAGGAGACAGACTTGAAATTTGTTGGGCTATGCCTGCGTAGGTTCGAATCTTACTGTTGACAAATTTTTAGCTTTATTTCACACTCCTGTACGGCTGACCATGACACATGCACAGGGTAGTCGTATTTATTTTCTTAGACCTAGGCTTCAATAGGATGTTTTTAATTTAAACGTGCATTCTTGTACAGATGACGACGACATTACAACTTTATATTTTTTAGGTTAAGGTGTGTCAATATGTCCAAGTGGTTAAGGAGACAGACTCGAAAATTGTTGGGCTATGCCTGTGTAGGACGGCTAACCATGACACATGCACAGGGTAGTCGTATTTATTTTCTAAGACCTAGGCTAGAATAAGACATTTTTAATTTAAACGTGCATTCCTGTACAGTTGACGACGACATCATAACTTTACATTTTTCAGGTTAAGACTTGGCATTCTTGTACAACTGACTACGATAATTTAAACGTGCATTCCTGTACGTTGACGACGACATCGCAACTTTACATTTTTCAGGTTAAGACATGGCATTCTTGTACGGCTGATGACGACATCGCAAATCGAGACCATAACACATGCATTGGGTACAGATGACGACGACATTACAACTTTATATTTTTTAGGTTAAGGCGTGTCAATATGTCTGAGTGGTTAAGGAGACAGATTGAAAATTTTTTGGGCTATGCCTGCGTAGGTTCGAATCCTATTGCTTACGAATTTTTAGCTTTATTTCACATTTCAGTACCGCAAACCATGACACATGCACAGGTAGTTGTATTTATTTTCTTAGACCTAGGCTAGAATAGGACGTTTTTAATTTAAACGTGCATTCGCTGAGAACGGCATCGCATCTTTACATTTAAATTTTTTAGGTTTATGCAAGACATTCCTGTACGACTGACGACGACATCGCAACTTTACATTTTTCAGGTTAAGACAAGGCATTCTTGTACGGCTGACGACGACATCGCAACTCTAAATTTTTTAGGTTAATACAAGACATTCCTGTACGACTGACGACGACATCGCAACTTTACATTTTTCAGGTTAAGACAAGGCATTCTTGTACGGCTGACGACGACATTGCAACTCGAGACCATGCACATGCATAGGGTAGTTGTATTTATTTTCTTTGACCTAGACTAGAATAGGATGTTTTTAATTTAAACGTGCATTCCTGTATAGATAATGACGACATTACAACTTTATATTTTTTAGGTTAAGGTGTGTTAATATGTCCGAGTGGTTAAGGAGACAGACTCAAAATCTGTTGGGCTATGCCTGCATAGGTTTAAATCCTACTGTTGACAAATTTTTAGCTTTATTTCACATTCCTGTACGGCTAACCATGACACATGCATAGGGTAGTCGTATTTATTTTCTTAGACTAGGTTAGAATAAGATGTTTTTAATTTAAACGTTCATTCTTGTACAAATGACGACGACCTCACAACTTTATACTTTATAGGTTAAGGTGTGTTAATATGTCCGAGTGGTTAAGGAGATAGACTCAGAAATCTGTTGGGCTATACCTGCGTAGGTTCGAATCATACTGTTGACGAATTTTTAGCTTTATTTCACATTCCTGTACGGCTGACCATGACACATGCCCGGGGTAGTCGTATTTATTTTCTTAGACCTAGGCTAGAATAGAACGTTTTTAATTTACATCGCATCTTTACATTTAAATTTTTTAGGTTAAGGCAAGACATTCCTGTACGGCTGACAACGACATCGCAACTTTAAATTTTTTTGGTTAAGACAAGGCATTCTTGTACGGTTGACGACGACATCGCAACTCGAGACAATGACACATGCATAGGGTAGTCGTATTTATTTTCTTAGACCTAGGTTAGAATAGGATGTTTTTAATTTAAACATGCATTCTTGTATAGATGACAACGACCTCACAACTTTATATTTTTGAAGTTAAAGTATGTTAATATGTTTGAGTGGTTAAGGAGACAGACTCGAAATTTGTCGGGCTATGCCTGTGTAGGTTCGAATCTTACTGTTGACGAATTTTTAGCTTTATTTCACACTCCTGTACGGCTGACCATGACACATGCACAGAGTAGTCGTATTTATTTTCTTAGACCGCTAGAATAGGACGCGTTTTTAATTTAAACGTGCATTCTTGTACGGCGATAGACCATGACACATGCACAGGGTAGTCGTATTTATTTCCTTAGACCGCTAGAATAGGACGTTTTTAATTTAAACGTGCATTCTTGTACGACGACTGACCATGACACATGCATAGGGTAGTCGTATTTATTTCCTTAGACCGCTAGAATAGGACGTTTTTAATTTAAACGTGCATTCCTGTACGGCTGACACATGCACAGGGTAGTCGTATTTATTTTCTTAGACCTAGGCTTCAATAGGATGTTTTTAATTTAAACGTGCATTCTTGTGCAGATGACGACGACATTACAACTTTATATTTTTTAGGTTAAGGTGTGTCAATATGTTCAAGTGGTTAAGGAGACAGACTCGAAAATTGTTGGGCTATGCCTGTGTAGGACGGCTAACCATGACACATGCACAGGGTAGTCGTATTTATTTTCTAAGACCTAGGCTAGAATAGTACGGCTGACCATGACACATGCACAGGGTAGTCGTATTTATTTTCTAAGACCTAGACTAGAATAGGACATTTTTAATTTAAACGTGCATTCCTGTACAGTTGATGACGACATCATAACTTTACATTTTTCAGGTTAAGACTTGGCAATCTTGTACGACTGACGACGATAATTTGAACGTGCATTCCTGTACAGTTGACGACGACATCGCAACTTTACATTTTTCAGGTTAAGACATGGCATTCTTGTACGGCTGATGACGACATTGCAAATCGAGACCATAACACATGCATAGGGTACAGATGATGACGATATTACAACTTTATATTTTTTAGGTTAAGGCGTGTCAATATGTTTGAGTGGTTAAGGAGAAAGACTCGAAATCTAATGGGCTATGCCTGCGTAGGTTCGAATCCTATTGCTTATGAATTTTTAGCTTTATTTCACATTTCTGTACGGCAAACCATGACACATGCACAGGTAGTTGTATTTATTTTCTTATACCTAGGCTAGAATAGGACGTTTTTAATTTAAACGTGCATTCGCTGAGAACGACATCGCATCTTTACATTTAAATTTTTTAGGTTTATGCAAGACATTCCTGTACGGCTGACGACGACATCGCAACTTTACATTTTTCAGGTTAAGATAAGGCATTCTTGTACGGCTGACGACGACATCGCAACTCTAAATTTTTTAGGTTAATACAAGACATTCAAGGCATTCTGTACGACTGACGACGACATCGCAACTCTAAATTTTTTAGGTTAATACAAGACATTCCTGTACGACTGACGACGACGACGACGACATCGCAACTCTAAATTTTTTAGGTTAATACAAGACATTCCTGTACGACTGACGACGACATCGCAACTTTACATTTTTCAGGTTAAGACAAGGCATTCTTGTCATTCCTGTACGACTGACGACGACATCGCAACTTTACATTTTTCAGGTTAAGACAAGGCATTCTTGTACGGCTGACGACGATGACGACGACATCGCAACTTTACATTTTTCAGGTTAAGACAAGGCATTCTTGTACGGCTGACGACGACATCGCAACTCGAGACCATGCACATGCATAGGGTAGTCGTATTTATTTTCTTTGACCTAGACTAGAATAGGATGTTTTTAATTTAAACGTGCATTCCTGTATAGATGATGACGACATTATAACTTTATATTTTTTAGGTTAAGGTGTGTTAATATGTCCGAGTGGTTAAGGAGACAGATTCAAAATCTGTTGGGCTATGCCTGCGTAGGTTCAAATCCTATCGTTGACGAATTTTTAGCTTTATTTCACATTCCTGTACGGCTAAGCATGACACATGCACATGTAGTCGTATTTATTTTCTTAGACCTAGGCTAGAATAGGACGTTTTTAATTTAAACGTGCATTCGGCTGACAACGGCATCTTATCTTTACATCTAAATTTTATAGGTTAATGCAACGGCATCGCATCTTTACATCTAAATTTTATAGGTTAATGCAAGACAAGACATTCTTGTACGGCTGACGACGACATCACAACTCGAGACAATGACACATGCATAGGGTAGTCGTATTTATTTTCTTAGACCTAGGTTAGAATAAGATGTTTTTTATTTAAACGTTCATTCTTGTACAAATGACGACGACCTTAGAACTTTATACTTTTTAGGTTAAGGTGTGTTAATATGTTCGAGTGGTTAAGGAGACAGACTCGAAATTTGTTGGGCTATGCTTGTGTAGGTTCGAATCTTACTGTTGACGAAACCCTAGAATAGGGCGTGTTTTTATTTTAAACGTGCATTCTTATACGGCTGACGACGACATCGCAACTCGAGACCATGACACATGCATAGGGTATAGATGACGACGACATTACAACTTTATATTTTTTAGGTTAAGGCATGTCTATATGTCTGAGTGGTTAAGGAGACAGACTCGAAATCTGTTGAGCTATGCTTGCGTAGGTTCGAATTAGTCGTATTTATTTTCTTAGACCTAGGCTAGAATAGGACGTTTTTAAATTAAACGTGCATTCCTGCATGGAGTAGTCATATTTATTTTCTTAAACCTAGGCTAGAATAGAACGTTTTTAATTTAGACGTGCATCCTGTATGGCTGACAATGGCATCACATCTTTACATTTAAATTTTTTAGGTTAAGTCAAGACATTCCTATACGACTGACGACGACATCACAACTTTACATTTTTCAGGTTAAGACTAGGCATTCTTGTACGACTGACGACGACATCGCAACTCGAGACCATGACACATGCATAGGGTAGTCATATTTATTTTCTTAGACCTAGGCTAGAATAGGATGTTTTTAATTTAAATGTGCATTCTTGTACAGATGATGACGACATTACAACTTTATATTTTTTAAATTCAGGCGTGTCAATATGTCTGAGTGGTTAAGGAGACATACTTGAAATCTGTTGGGATATGCTTGCGTAGGTTCAAATCCTAATGTTGACCAAATTTTAGCTTTATTATGTTTTTAATTTAAACGTGCATTCTTGTACAGATGACGACGACATTACAACTTTATATTTTTTAGGTTAAGGTGTGTCAATAACAAGTGGTTAGGGAGACAAAATCGAAAATTGTTGGGCTATGCCTGTGTAGGACGGCTATCCATGACACATGCACATGGTAGTCGTATTTATTTTCTAAGACCTAGGCTAGAATAGTATGGCTGACCATGACACATGCACAGGGTAGTCATATTTATTTTATAAGACCTAGGCTAGAATAGGACATTTTTAATTTAAACGTGCATTCCTGTACAGTTGACGACGACATCATAACTTTACATTTTTCAGGTTAAGACTTGGCATTCTTGTACGACTGAGGACGATAATTTAAATGTGCATTCCTGTACAGTTGACGATGACATCGCAACATTTTTTAGGTTAAGACATGGCATTCTTGTACGGCTGACGACGACATCGCAAATCGTGACCATAACACATGCATAGGGTACAGATGAGGACGACATTACAACTTTATATTTTTTAGGTTAAGGCGTGTCAATTTGTCTAAGTGGTTAAGGAGACAGACTGTTGGGCTATGCCTGCGTAGGTTTGAATCCTACTGTTGATGAAGTTTTAACTTTATTTCAAATTCCTGTACGGCTGACACATGCAAAGGGTAGCCGTATTTATTTTCTTAGACCTAGGCTAGAATAGAACATTTTTAATTTAAACGTGCATTCTTGTACGGCTGACAACAACATAGCATCTTTACATTTACATTTTTTAGGTTAAGGCAAGACATTTCTGTACGACTAACGACAACATCGCAACTTTACATCTTTATGGTTAAGACAAAGCATTCTTATACGGCTGACGACAACATCGAAACTCAACGTGCATTCGTGTACGGCTGATAACAGCATCGCATCTTTACATTTACATTTTTTAGGTTAAGGCAAGACGTTTCTGTACGACTGACGACGACATCGCAACTTTACATCTTTCTGATTAAGACAAGGCATTCTTATACGGCTGACGACAACATCGCAACTCGAGACCATGACACATGCATAGGGTAGTCGTATTTATTTTCTTAGACCTAGGCTTGAATAGAATGTTTTTAATTTAAACGTGCATTCTTGTACAGATGACGACGACATTACAACTTTATATTTTTTAGGTTAAAGTGTGTCAATATGTCTGAGTGGTTAAGGAGATAGACTTGAAATATGTTGGGCTATGCTTGCA